TTGAGATAGTCTCATTCTGTTGCCCAGGCTAGAGTGCTGTGGCATCAGCCTAGCTCACAGCAACCTCAAACTCCTGGGCTCAAGGAATCCTTCTGCCTCAGCCTCCCAAGTAGCTGGGACTACAGGCATGCGCCACCATGCCCAGCTGATTTTTTCTATATATTTTTAGTTGTCCAGCTAATTTCTTTCTATTTTTTTAGTAGAGATGTGGTCTCGCTCTTGCTCAGGCTGGTTTCGAACTACTGAGCTCAAGCAATCCTCCCACCTCGGCCTTCCAGAGTGCTACGATCACAGGCGTGAGCCACCGCGCCCGGCCTAGAAATCTTTTATCTGGTGTCAAGTACAATAATTTAACAATTTTAAGCACCACTAGAGCTCTAAGACTGGAATGTTTTGGAGAGGAAGTATGCAGGCTCTATCTAATTAGAATGCATAGACCTCTTGACCTAGCAATATTTCACTAGGAATCTATACTGCAGTGATACTAAAATGTGCATAAAGATACAAGCACCAGGATCAGCTGGTCTGAAGGTAGTTAGTTACCTCAATTGACTACTGAGTCAGTTACAGATCAAACTTCTTGGTCTACTCTTCCTCCCTGTCCTCTCCTTCTCACTACTATACTTGACTAGTCTTCAAAAAATAAATTAAAAAAAAAAAAGGATACAAGTACCATGACATTTACGAGAGCATTTTTCACTGTGAAACGTGTATAATACAGTTTAAAGAATAAAACGAATGAATAACACAACTTATTGGAGTATAAAATACTAACATTCCAAACACCTCCGAAGCTCCTTATGCCTCTGTCAACACATCCACACCAGACATACCTCTGCTCCTATGGTGCCAGTCACATTCCTTTAGCTTCATAATGGACAGAGCTTTAAGTACACTATTTTTATCCATTCTCCAAGTTACATACATAGAATATTAATATACACATTGCTTTGTGGCTTTTTTTGTTCAACATTTTTGCTTCTAAGATAAATTTATGTTGATGAATATAACCATGGCTTATTTGTTTTGTCACTGCTGCTTAGTATTCTACTGTAACAATATGCTACAATCCATTCATTTTCTTTTTCTTGAGACAGAGTCTTGCTCTGTTGCCCAGGCTAGAGTGCCATGGCATCAGGCTAGCTCACAGCAACCTCAAACTCCTGGGCTTAA